TTTGCTATAGCACTTTCAGCAGACATGGATGGTCAGAAGCAGATTTCTGGAGGTTAAGAAGTTAGATGTAAAAAGTTAGAAAAAAGATAATGCTGAGCAACGAAGCAGAGTACATAAACATACAGCAAGTATGTATTTAGATAAAATCCAAAATAAGTAAAACTGATCTATAGTTTTAGTAGTTGATATGATGGTTGCCTTGGGAGAGTTGAAGGACAATGGCATGAGAACAAAAGGTGAGAGGAGGGCTTTTATGGTGTTGGAAGCATTCTACTTTTAAACTCCATAATACACCCCACAGTGATTTGGAAAATGCTGCATTAGACATCAATACAGCTACTTACTAAAAAATTATAAAAAAAATGCACAAATCATTATAGCATGAAACCTTGCAGCAACTTTATTTGACTGGCCTATTGAGAAAATAATTCTTCTACTATGTACTTTAATTATAAAATTAATTCATGTACCTGTTTGTATGATTTTAATTTCCTATGTTAGAGTTTATAGATATGTCCTGACAGTTTTGATAAATACAGCTCAGCACCACTTACAGGAATTTTGCACATTCTGTTAGCGTTGCTGCACCTGGGCTCTTCACAGGGAAGGGAACGTCCAAAAGATGATTGTTGAGACACAACCTATAGGCATGTGTTTCCAAAGGACAGTTTTTGGTCTTAAACAAGACCAATTATTTTTATACACCAACTATTAATAGAAAGACAACAGGTAAGGTGATACCGGTATGAACTATAACAACAAAAAGTCTTAAATCCGTCCCATTTTAGGATGACCCCGCCCCCCTCCCCCCATTGTTTAGATGAATCTGTGGTGGCTGATGGGCTTTTTTGTTTCTCTTTTTAGCTGTAGTGTCTGGCATTCTTCGTGCTATGATTTCTCGCTGGTAAATTTTGTTTGCTGACCTAACTATTTGTCACATTTAAAAGCAGACGCAATTAGATATTTCAGCACCTCTTTGATTTCTAGTGGAACACTTGTATATATTTCTTAAAGTATTGACTCTTTTTGTCATACAGATATTGAGAGTAAGGCTTTTTATGACACAAAGTGAAACTGAATAAAAAACTAAAAAACAATATAATGGGAATTGATCAACCGTTCTTATTTTCCACACTGTACCGTGTCTTGTCAGTAATAACTTAGTGCATCTGACTTAAAATGACTTTCTCCTGATTTTAGCATAATATTCTGGATAAGGTTTGCCTGAGATTTTTTTTTTTTTTGGACTTTCAAACTCATTTCTGTAATTCATTGGTACTTTGGTCTTGTTCACCCCAGGTTATTCATGCCAATATCGCAGAAACTTCTTCAACTGAGTCTTGCATTGTCCCTGTGTGGTTTTGAAACCCTATGTAGATGACGTCTTTTTTCATAATGGCTTTACCATGGGGACACCAGCGACCCAGCTACCCCAGACCTAATTCACTAGGGTATGACAGAGTTGCTGCAGCTTGACATGAAAGCCTGAGTTAGCTTCATTTTAAAACAGCTCAGATTTCAAAATTGAATTTCTTCGAATGGGATTTAAGTTTAACTGGACAAATATATTGTTCCACCATTTAAAACAATTTGAATGTAATATCTCATGTTTTAATTACGAGTTGTTTTTCTGCATCTCCTTCTCTAGGTTAGTCTGAGAGAATGCATTTCATTACACTTTCCAGTTGAAAGTTTATAGGATTCTGCTCTGTCAAGTGATTGTTTAGGGAGACATTTATCTAACACATGAATGTTATTATGAAATATAAAACCAAGTGCTTTTCAAACATGTAATATAATAATCATACACGTTTAATATGTTGATNTTTCAAGTCAACGCTTGATTGTAAAATTACTTGTTAACTGTGTGTGTGTGTGTGTGTGTGTGTGTGTGTGTGTGTGTGTGTGTGTGTGTGTGTGTAAAATCTTCATGACAACAATGAGAGATAGATGTCACTGTCTTCAGTTTCTAATGGAGGAAAGGTTAAGTGATTTGCCAGGGTTTATAGAACTATTAGGTGACATGGGCAGGACCTGAAACCAGAGCTGGCTGACTTCAGAACCTGTGTTTTCTGATTACACTGCACAACCTTTTAAAAAAACACACTGTGATGCCAACTACAAGCAACGTGAACTATTGTGCTGTAGGTAGGAGAATATGAAAGGCCATGGAGCAGCTATGCGGCTAGCCAGAATGGATAGGGATGTTTGAAAAATCTTGGTGAGCCCTTTTATATGACAGGCAATAGTCAAAAGCAGCAGAGTATAAAAAAGCTACAGCCTCAGTCCATAGGACAGAGCACAGAATAGAAAGCACGTTGATGATTTTCCTCACCCACGCTTGGATAGATTTTCATCATCAATCGGCACATTAATTCTATCTGGCTCCTGGAAAGTCATTTGCTTAATAGCTCCTTTGTGACCAAGGGAGTTAATGCACAATCCCAAATGACTTCACTCCCAGCTGGGGAGGAGTTTAGGCAGAGGAGAAAAAAGAAGTCTAACTTCATCTTTCACAAATAATACAAGGACGAAAGCCGGAACAAACTAATTCACTGATTTTGTTCAGAAAGAGCCCTGTTTTATTTTGACATAGGTCACTGAGACATAGGAGGCAATTTCCATGAGGAAGTATTTCCTTGAGTCAATATTAGTGGAGTAATGTAAATGAGTGGAATGCAAAATATCCTTTTAATGTTTGGATTTTCTGTGTCCTGTGAGATTTTTGTTTTAAAAAGTTTGGATTAAATTCTAAGTACCTATTTTAACTTTATAACATTATACCTTTGAAATTGTTAAAAAATAGTTGTCCAGTAACTGAAAACCAGATTTTACATAAATTCAGTTCTTTGCCGAATTGCACACTTAACAGGATCTTATTAGGTGATTGTTACATTAGACTTTAGAAGTGTTAAGACACAGATATAATTGTATGATTATAATTTTTTGTCAGGTGATAAAACAGGAAGAACTTGGCAAGGATCTTTCAGACTGTACTTTGTATGATCTACTGAAGTACGATGATTTTGACTCTGACAAGCACCTGGCTCTTGAAGAATTTTATAGAGCATTCCGTGAGTATAAGCTTTATTCTCTAATTACTCTTTGTTTTTTTTCCCTGTTTCTTTAGACAATGTGGTATGTTTGCTTGATCTCAGAATACAAGCTGTTTCTGAAAAGAACTCATGTAATTGATAATTGAGATAATTTAAGTGTTTGGTTATATTGAAACATGCATAAAAGCTGGGGGTTTAGTGGTTCTAAAATGAAGAGCTGGAAATATTTGGTAGCCCTGATTCTAGTTTAAGATATTACTCCACAATGCTTCTTCAAAGTTATTTTAGAGTAGGAGCAGCACTTGACCAGTTGTCACTGTATATCAAAAGCAATTTTATTATTTACATAGTGACTTTATTTTTACTTTTTTTGGAAACCAAAGTAGATGAAAATGAGTTTGCATATATTTTAATAACAATAATTAGCATTAGAATGAAAATTATATTAATGTTAAGTTACTTTGGAATAATTTATATATGCTTAAATTGCTTAAAGACTTCCTAAAATTGACTATTTGTGCTTTATAAAGCAGANATCTATCTATCTGCTGAAGATTGGTTTGAGAAGAGGAAATAATCCATTAGTGCCAATAAGGAAACATTTAATTATTTACCATTGTCCTTGCACTGGGGTAGAATAGATCAAGGAGAAAATTAACCTCCAATTGTTAAACTTATTGGACAAGTGGTTTTCTGAACAGGCAGCCAGAATTTTCGAAAGCCAATATCATGAAGAACATGTTTTTATAAGTAATGGAAGGCAAAAGAGAATTTTCTGATCAAAAAGGAGGATTCCTAGAGGGTACTTTGATGAGTATGAGTTAGAAAAGGATAGAGATTGGGTCAGGTTGGGAAATGTGCACAGCAACATGAAGAGACTCGAACTTTATAGGATCGATCTCAGAGGTAAACAAGTATATAACGCATGCAGGAATCTGTCCAAACCATCCATTAGAGGAGAATGGGCAACTATTTCTTGCATTGTGGTCCTATGTATTTGATCCTTAGGGTAAGGTGAGATGATACACAGGCAGACTGCACTCGCTGGAATGGCACTCTTGAGTTTGTTAGCACTGTTAGAAGATAAACTGAGGCATATTAAAATTTTAAGAATTTGTTTGAGCAAAGATCATTTCAAAATGGGTAACCAAACCAGAAAAGGTTAGAAGCATTCTGCAGTGGGGAACTAGGGGGAAACAACAAAAACCAAAAACAAAGCAAAACACTTTAATAGAGGAAAGGAGAGAGCAAACTAAGGAAATTACTGATTGGCTATAGCTTAAAGCCAAATGGCTTCTTGTGATCAGTCATCCTTAGGTTTCAATTTAGTAACCCGAGGCATTTATAGGCCTAGATTTTGGTTTACTTATGTAGGCATCGCTACATTAGAGCCACCTCAGTCTAGCAACCTCCTTGTTTAATTCATTTAAAAGCAGCACATATAGGATTCTTGAGGTGAAGTGGTTCTTAGAGCTTGGAAAATCTGCTCATTAAGTCTCTCCCCATTTTATAAAATAACCACTGGTAGAATGTAAGTAAGCAAAGCCATTCCCTTGTGATTCTGAGTTTAAATAAACAGCTGTATTGAGTATATTGATTTAGCTTTTTCTTCATCTAGATTTTGTCATCTTAATAAGCTGATTCACATTAGGAATGCATATTAGAGTGAAATATTTCCTTAATGTGCACACATACCAACTCTTTATTAAAATAATAAAAAGAACTACTTGTTCACAGGATTTAGATTATTATGTTATACATATTTGACTTAAAAAGCCATTTGCTCAATGACTACCATATGTGAATGCATTTACAAAAATTAAATAAAAAGAAGGAATAAATAAGACTAGATATTTTTAAGCTAACAGCATGGGCATGTGAATGGTGTTTTTACAACCTTTTCACATAACAATTTTCTTTAAACATTAATTGAAAAGTTATAGTGAATGGACCCTAAATATCTATTTTGACTTGATAAAGCCTATTACAATTTTAATGATTTTTTAAAAAAGTTCTGATATCTCGTTGGCACTTTTATTTACTATGAGATTTGTGAAAATTGTTTTGTCTCATAGATCAAACGCTATTTTATTGGGGACAAATTAAATACAAATAAGTAAGCACTCATATGGATAGGGAAATGATAAGTGAGGATTTCCAAGAAATGTCATGGTAATTAATCCTATTTAACGCATTATTTATTTATTTTTTTTNATATATATATATATATATATATATATGATTCTTTGCACTTTATTCTTACCAGATAGAGGTCTACTTTCTTAGTTAAGGGTGTTCTACTGCTTTCATAGAGTAGTTACATGGAACTAACCAGAGAAAACATGAAGCTTTGAATGGGCCTCATCAATAGCATATAGAAATCAAAAGGTGTAATTGAGTATCTAATATTACTTCAAATCTATTATGTGTTGTTGAAAAAAAAAGACATGAATCAAACAAGAGAAATGGGTATTTTACTTTCACAAATTTTAAGCCAAATGACATATTAATAAAACTTCAGCCAAAAGTATTTGTTTTTATAAACTATCATAATTCCATATCCTTTTCAACAATGTCTATTTATTTTTGTTATACAAGTAAAAGAGAACATAAAGGCATAAAAGAGAAAATAGGAATAAAATTTAATTTCATAATTCAGTTATAATCATTTTGATATACTATATGTCTATATATATACATACATATTTTATGAAAATGGGGCTATATTATACCTTTAAAATTCTTTTAATGCTACTTTCATTTAATTAATTAGATATTGGGAACATATCTAAGCATCGATAGATATAGTTTAACATCATAATTTTGATGTCTTGTGTTGTGGGAAGGTACCATAATTATAACACTCAACTTATTACTATTCCTGAGCTCTCATTTCTCTCCTTAAACATTAACACTGCCCATTTAAAACATAATACAAGCAAAAAAATTGTTAGTCATCCCAAAATTAATTTTCTAACAGTCACTAAAAAAAGAAAAAGAATAGTAAAATTGATTTTAATAATATTTTATTTATCCTGATATAGTAAAAAATATTATCACAATATGTGATCAATATAAAAATTAAGGAGATATTTTGTATTTGTTTCTCCCAACTTTTGAAACTAGTATCTATTTTACATTTACAGCATATTACTATTTGGACTAACCACATTTCAAATGTTTAATTGTCACTGGCTACCATCTTGGACAATATAATGTTAGAGTGTTAAAAAAGTATCTATCATACATATAAGAAAAATCTGTCCACAATTTTATTTCAGTTATTTTAAATAGGTTAAGCACGCATTCCAGTTGTAAATAAATAACATAGTGTGAACTTCATGTTCATATTTGTTTTTCAGGAAACCACAATACACACATATAGGATAAATATAATTAAGTAACAAAATATATTCCCTAAACATAAATGTTTATTTTAAAAGCAGAGTTCAATAAAATGTATTTAATGCCACCTTATTCCACTGTCTCCCAAATATATTATCAATGGATCATTTAAGTCGTACATCCTCTGCCACAGTTAGCATTTTTAGAAATATATTTTCTGATTTTTTAATAATTTTATTCTTAAATTAATGACTAATGTTATTTTCACTTTGATTTAAAATAAATGCACCAATCATCGTGAGTCTTCTAGTGAAAACCTGTTCAGTGTGAAGTGTAACTAGTTTGAGTTACTTTATCCAACAATTAGCAGTGAAACACTTTCAGAGAGCCTGTAAAACCTAATATACCACAAGAATTAATGTTTTATATTCAGTTTTTTTACATGTTAAAAAAAAAGCTCCAGGCTACTGTTGCCTCTAAGAACCCTAGGGGAACTAATGTACTACACTGAATATAACCTAATAATTCTTTAATGCTTAGGAATTACTGAAATATTTTTTTATGCCTCAGGGCCATCACAATGAAAAGAAATGTATGTATGTATGTATGTATTTATGTTAATAAGATATGCGCAAAATACCTTATTAGCATGCCTTATAGTAATTCAGTGCATGATACGTTCTATGGTAATCCCTTTTACATATATTCCAAAACCAGTAACAAATTATTTCTTAAGAAACATTTTAAGAATTAGCAGAATAAATTAACATACATCTATCTTTATACTTTTATACAAGTGATTAATTTGATGATTATTAGCAATATAGTAATGCTCAATCTTTTGATTGTTGTATTCAATCTATCCAATAACAAAGTTTAATTTCTTAAGGAAATTTTATTAAAATTATCTTCATTTATTTAAAATGGGTCTCTATCTCTGCATTGCCATTTGGTGAGTGAATTTTTAACATAATTTACCATTGCTATCATCCTTATAAAATTATGGAATGATTGTTTCCTACAATATAAAAAAAAGTATATTTATCTTCAATGTCTAATAAGTGTTTGTCTTTATGTGACAATTTTAAAATTGACTTGTTAAATACTCTTCTTAATAAAAATGGACAGGAAGCATCTCTACCAAGTGCTGTTGAGCTGCCTGACTGAGGATTTTGTGAGGCACAGAATATTGCATATCATCTGCAATGTATGCACTGTAAAATGTGTTTATTCTAATGGAAATTGTTCCTGTAAAAAAGCAGAAAATTGCAGTAAACTTGTTAGCAATCATTCAAGTAATGTAAACAGATCCTTGTTGCTGGTGACCAGATAGGACTAAAGAAAAGCATTTATGATGTTTAAAGCATTACAAACGTTACAGATTACAAATCATCTTGAGAGGTAATGCACATTTATAGTGACTTCCATGGAGGACATTGAATGACTACTGTCTTCTGATGTTGCTATAATTGGTCATTAATGACAAGAATACTTGACTAAATTAATAAGCTAGACATCCTAATATATGTTATATGATACTTGTCTATTCCAAAAGGGTAATCATTTTCAACTAAAAATAAAAATTAGAAAGACAAGGTATAATGGAAGAAGGAAAAAAGAGTGACAGAGTGATGGAGAAACAGAAGAGAGATTGAAGGGAGAAAGAAGAAAGC